AGAGAGAGAGAGAGAGAGAGAGACAGAGAGAGAGATGCGCACCTTTATACTCTCCTCTAGTAGCTTCTTTGCTTTCTCGAGTCTGCCCAAATACTCTTCGCTCCCAGGTTCCGTCCCTGCGAAATAGCCACCTGCTTCAAGCCCTGATAAGAATTCACCGAACTTGGCATGCTCTTCAACCCCAGTGGTCCCTGTTCAGTGTCACACCCAATGGACAGAAACAGCAGAGGCATAGACAGACAGTTGTCCCTGTTCAATGTCACACCCAACGGACAAAAAGAACAGAGGCATAGACAAACAGCCTACAGGCATACGTCATCTGATTGCAGACGATCTTTACATGCATTCCCACGATTTCTATTTTTTCTTCCGGATTTATCTGCGTCATCCTTGTGCAGGGGCCATGCTAATCTTCTCTGTATCATTCCATATTGTTTTTCTTTTTGGTCAGCAATTCCAAACAAGCGCGTAGTGTATGTTAGCTTCGGAACCGTGAAAAACTCTTCCGTGTCTGTTACGACTCTGTCGTCTTTCTCTGTACCGTTCTAACTTTATCGAATGTCCCATTCAGGGAACCTTCAGGGAAGTTTCAAGAAACCTTCATGAATCTTCATATGGTATGTTCTTGAGACCTTCATGAAAGCATGATCGTACAGTCAGAGTGGAGTGCACTGAATGGTGGCGGGTTTCTTGTCACGGGGTTCCAAGTGGAAAGCAAGCGCAAGTCGTCCATTCCAGGGACGACTGGTAATAGGAACAAACCTTTCTCAGAAAGACTCGACCTCACAAACCTTTCTCAGAAAGACTCGACCAGAGCTCAACCCATGCGTGCAGCTAGAAGCTCAGACAGACGATTTGCGAGATGCACGGGAAGACTTGTTGTGAGAAGCGCAGAAAAACGGACTCAAAAAACTGCTGAAATGTTTTGCGGAAACTGGAAGGAAAACCCTTGTAAATTCAAAAAGACAAAAGAGGCTCTCACAATTGCATGGACCATGCCTTACCTTTCAGCAAGGAGGATCTCCTACCCATTGCACATACATAAGGGCTAGACAAGTCATTCAGAACCAGAGGGTGTACAGGGGAGCATAACAGATATATGTGCCCATACACTTGCTATATACACCCGTGCATGTATGCACACACACGGCACAAACGTGCACGAACACAAGGCACATAAAAAAGACAAAATACGCAAGCACACACATACACACACAAAACAAAAAACACGTGACATATACACCCATGAATGCAGGCACATACTGCACAAAAATGTATCAACACAAGGCGCGTAAAAACAACACACAAACAAACACAACGGTAGCTGCCGTGCCTGTGTTCCTAGAATGTGGAAGCCATTTTCAGTGTGACACCGGATTAAGGAATGCCATCCAAAATAGTGCATGCCCGTGTCAGGATCCGATGAGCTGCTTCCATGCACCTCAACTGGGAGCATTCCTGTCCTGTTTGTGGTCGTCGTCATATGCCTTAGGATCCCTGTGCTCTTTGCAGCCCGACCCATCATCATCCACAACTCCCCTGATGCCACTCTGCTGTACCAGTGAGTACTCAGTCGTGCCAATCTTGTGTACCAGTGAGTGCTGAGTCATGCCAATCTTGTGTCTTGGTGCGTACTGAGTCATGCCAATCTTGTGTACCAGTGAGTACTGAGTCTTTTCTCTCCCCTTTCTTCTCCCTCTCTTCCCTCCTGTTTCCCATGCCAAATTGATAAACGCAAAATGCACATTGCTATGAGAACAGACAAACAGAACCACAAAACGCATGCATCAGTCGTGCCAATCTTGTGTACCAGTGAGTGCTGAGTCATGCCAATCTTGTGTCCCGGTGCGTACTGAGTCATGCCAATCTTGTGTACCAGTGAGTACTGAGTCTTTTCTCTCCCCTTTCTTCTCCCTCTCTCCCCTCCTGTTTCCCATGCCAAATTGATAAACGCAAAATGCACATTGCTAAGAGAACAGACAAACAGAACCACAAAACGCATGCAAAAGTGCGAGAACAGACAACACGAGCGTCCCCCAAGGTGACCGGATGTGCAGGCATCCAGCAGTCGTCTACGCAAAAGTGGATGGCCTTACACCACTCATCAGATTGCAGCAGTGCAAGGTTGTTTAAACCCCACCAGTACCTCCAAGCCTGCTTATGCCGACCCTGAATTTCACTGCGAACGGAGTTTTGCCGAGCCTGGGTCCCATTGTATTCTCTTTTCTTGTACCCGTCGGAAAAAAAAAAAAAAAAAAAAAGGAAAAAAGAAAAGACGTGTACAGAACATTGGGTAGACGGGAGAGTCTGCCCAAGGGGGTTTCTGCCCTCAGCAAAACACGGAAATAGGGAAGGGGGGGGGGGGAAAGGAAAAAATGCAGCAACTCTTTGGACGTGAAAGCAGCTCGATACAGAACATCAGGGAGAAATGAGAATATGCCCTACCAACAGGGTCACAGCCCTCAGCACGCACACACGGCTGTACGAAAAAAAAAAAAAAAAAAACAGCAACGACTCTTTGGACGTAAAAGCAGCTGGATACAGAATCTTAAGTACATGTGAGAGTGCCCTGTTCGTTGCAACTGTCAGTTGTCCGCGAAAAAAAACGCCCTGGCTCGTGGGCAGGGCACTAAAACTAACTTAGAACTTAGAAGTAAAAAAATAAAAAAACACATAAAAAACAAAAAATGAAACTATCGATGATTCTGGGCAGATGCATTCCTGGAGCAACTGCTGTGAGCACACTTCCTTTGCGGCTTTCCCCGACGTCCTTCCTTTCAACTCTGCAGTTCCTTCTTTTTTTCTTTTTTTTTCTCCGATCGGGCCCACAAGGCCCAAATGTTTTGTTTTCGCCAATCCTCGCCCGGACCCCGGAACTTTGCGCTGGACATCATTTTCCCGAATGGGACTACAGCTTGGAAAGGTAGTGGTGGTTTAACCAAAACATCGCAACGAGTTTATAGAACATCCTTACCTTTGTGTGGTAAGAACGCTCCTACCATGATACCTATGTGTACCGGTGGAAACGGGATTGTTGAGGCGATTGTTCAAAACACACAAACACAGGTGATTGTTCAAAACACACAAACACACCCCTGCCTTTGATGATTGGCTGTGTTGCCACTGTTTTCCACTTAATGTGATTGTTTCAAAAAGCACACAAACACACACCTCACTTCGATGATCAGCTCCGTTGCCACCGTTTTCCGTGAGTCTGGTGAATGCACAAGCATGTGTTGATGGCAAGCAACATTGCAGCGAATCCAGTAGCCAATTTCACAGCAAACAAAATGTGATGTCGAGAAGAAAGAAGGCGGAAACAAAAAAGAAGAAAATGGCTTTTTACCTGAGGGAGTAGCCCCGCCATTCACCCTGACAGTCTGCACGAAACACACAAGCAGCATCCGAAGAAGTTTCAGACACATCAGGAGACTCATTAGCCAGGCGGCATTTTTTTTTTTTTTTTTTTTTTTTTTGAAGGGCAACGGCCTTGAGTTATCATGATTGTTTCAGACACATCAGGAGACTCGTTAGCCAGGCGGCATTTTTTTTTTTTTTTTTTTTTTTTTTTCTGAAGGGCAACGGCCTTGAGCTATCATCATTGATCTGAGAACTTTTATTCTTTTTTCTGTCCATCCGATTGAATCTGGACTCGAATTCGGGTCTGTCTGTATTTCAACCATTCATGGGTGTACCAACTGGGCTATAGGCCTTTTATGGCCCCGCGGTACTTAGTATTGAGCAAATACCAAAAACAGCTCTGTACTGATGGCAACATGGCAGCCACTTCAGCCAGGACAAAAGTTTTTTTTGTGGCCATTTCCCACCCGCATTAGCAGAGCCCTCACCCCCTCCTCATGTAACTCAGTACATGCATGCATGGCATGACACCAAAAATGACATTTACCCCAGCCTTCTGCATTACTTCAATCACTTATCCTTTGCAGCATCAGCAAGGCACAAGAAGACGGTGCAGATTTTATTTTATCTTCATCCTTATCAACCCAACGAGCTGGCCCAGCAATATCACGCAGCCGCTGCCGAGGCAGTCAGACCGCCAAGGCAGATCTCACAGCGCTGCGAAAGCTGCTCAAACTGGTTATAGGTTAGCGCACATCCATCCGCTTTCGGGGGAGGGGAGCAGTTCACACTTACAACCCCCTCAAAAATCAAGCAGGTTTGGGCAGAAAGAATTATCAGACCACCAAGGCAGATAAGATAGCATACTGCTGAGAAAACAGCGCGAACTGGCTACAGCACCTCGATACGGTTCCGGAGGAGGACGGGGGCAGTTCACACTTACAACTCCGCAGCAAACAGAATTGGGCAGACAGACAGAATCCAGACTTACCTCGTTTAAAGAATCACCCGCACATGCTGCTGACGACTGCTGAAAGACGCTGCCTTCTGCGGAAGGAGGAGGAGACATTGATGCTGGCATCGACCTTGTTGATGTGCAAGTGGCTGTCACCTCCACCTTCGGAGGAGGATGTTTGCTCGTCACTGACACGCTGGATACGAGCTCCAGCAGCGACTTTGGCCTTATAGACAGCTCCCGCTGCTGCTTCTCGTCGTCTATCCGCACTCCAAATACATCTGATAAGCACTCCTTTACAACCTCGAGACCCTCATCATCCGCGCCTGAAGGCAATTGAACTGCAAAAATTGCCGAACACACAATTTCGCATTCATAAAAGAGACGAAGAACGCAGACCATTACAGGTCTGCTGCAGCTTCACGTATCATTTCACACCGCCAAGGATAAAGGCCTATGGTTTGGGGCCCAACACAGTGCACCGCAAGATCCGGATGAGAAATTTTCAGAGGAACTGTGAAGAATAACTACTAGTACACACACGAAGAACTTTCGACGAACAGATCACGAGCTCAAATCCTGACACAATAAAAAAATCAGGTTCTTATGCACCCTTTTTAAAAGGAAAAAAAAGCCTTACTGGCAAGAGGTAGAACCTCTATACTTCATTTTTACCTTGCCCAGGCCACCAAACCCTTACGGACATCACATGTAATTTCTGACGCTTTACGACTCGGGCGGACAATGTCAAGGACATTCTCCATTTCTTCCTTATGATGCTTCTGTCGGCCTATGCGTTTTGTTTGGTCTTATGCCCAGTGCCGAGCACCGGCACTTTAGCAGGGGGGTTACTTCCCTGCTAGAAAGTTTCCCTCCCTCACGCCAAGCATTTTGGCAGGTATGTTTCTCTTCTAGAATGCCTCTTCCATCTACTTTTGCACAGAAGAGCAAACCTCTTTTACCTTCAGTCTACCCCTACCGGATCTAAGACCTCAGAACGAAACACCAGTCGTGCTGTCTCCTTGCCATTCACCTTAAATTACGCCAGAAACACGCAGGGCCTGGCTTACCTTMAGTCTRCCACTACTGGATCTAAGACCTGCCAGGTGACACAGARCGAGACGCCAGTCGTGCTGTCTCCTTGCCATTCACCTTAAATTACGCCAGAAATACGCAGGGCCTGGCTTTTTATGTCTTGTAGGTCGATCAATGCGACCTAGCAAGACAAAGACGGAGGCGGACGCAGGTAGACCATTGGGTCCAGTAAGACCTGGAAAGGTAGACTTCATGACTCAGCAGCTGGTCCAGGCCTCGCAGCTGGTCCAGGCTAAGTGTGATTCCAGCTGCTGATGCGAAGGGGGGAGAGAGGAAACCCTGCAAAGGAATTAGAAGCAGATACAAGGGGAAAAGGGGCAACGATGCAGAGGAAGTAGAAGCAGCTGCCAGAGGCAGCGTATAAGGAGGCCCAACACACTGAATCCAACAAGGCAACATAAGGCTAGAAAGCGCCAAGAAGTTCTCAAGCAAATGGGACGGAGAGAGGGAGGTGGCAGGCTGCAAGAGAGAGAGAGAAGTGGGGCAGGGAAGGGTAAGGAAAGGGCAGGAGGGGCTGCAGAACAGACAAGTGGTTTCGGCCTCAGGGAGAGGTAGAAGGCGGCGAGAGGGGGAGGCGGGGGAGCATAAAAGGAGAGAGATGTAGAGAGCCTCCATAGCCCGAGGTTGGCAAGCTAATATCGCCAGCTGGAAATGGAAAAAGAGAGATGTATAAACAAAAAGAAACATAAAGACAGAGAGACTAAGAGAGAGGCGGAAACTATCGATCGACCTGTTTCCCTAGCCCAGAACTGTCATCATTCGATTCGTTCATTCTTCGCTCGGTCCTTCAGTTCGTCTCAGCTGCCTCCTGCTCAAGTCCATGGTGTTTGTGTAAAATTGCAATTTTATAAATCATCATAGGTGTCACAGATTCCAAATTCGTCAACAATTTATCTAAGTGCTCTTGTCAAGTTTTAAAAAAATATTTTTTATACTCTCGAGATAACTAATAACCCGACCAATCCTACCACAGTTGGACCTTTTCTACGCTGCATAGAAGCCAATACTTACTTTACGTTCAGCTACCGTCTTCCCGCAAACATAACGCACGCTGAAAATGAACGTATACAAGCCGTCTTTCCGGTCCGATGCAGTCAAAATGAGGGTGCGTTGTGTTCGAGGGAACACGATAGTACTAAAAAAGCAACTCCATCTGCTAAATGCTTGCAGCACGCTATCCCATAACACCATAGCTAACCCGGCGTCAGAGCGAGAGCCTCCATTCCAGAGACATTCTGCCCCACAAACAGGAAGCGGAAGTCGACGATCAGCAGTATTCAAAGGAGAGACGAAGGTCTCCATGCAGTGTCATGCCTGGACAGGTGATCTTCCTTCTACAAGCCAGGCTGTAATGCCATCCATCCCTTGCCAATTTCAAGCAACGTATACCTCCTATTCTCTACCCTGCGAACCCACCACCTCTCCTGCACTCCACACCCCGGTCCTATGGGCAACAAGCATGTGTTGTTCCATGCGCTCAGTCTGCCTGCCTGCCTGTTCGGAGAGAAGCCATCCATACCTGTTTCATAAAACTTGTGTCCTACCAACCAGGTTAGAGTGGACAGAAGGGCTGGCTGGGCGCCGTGGGTGTTGTTTCACGGCAACGATCGAGGTGTTCGCCACACGGAATAAGAAGTCCTTGTGACGGTTTGATTCCGTGTCATGGGTTATGGGTTATGAGTTATCAGGTGTGCCTTATCAATCAGGCCAGAGAATTGTGTAAGGCTGCTACGGTTCAGGATTCAAATCGCTATTTTCCTCAATGGGTCCGCGTATCAGACAAACCGATTATCAGGTAACAACGTAAGGAGAAGTACATACTGCCTGCCACATGACCGCAATACACACACACACACACAGACACACACACACACACACTAGAACGACGAATTCCCAAGAGGCCTTATCATTTTCTCTCTCTTTTTTTCTGCAAATTCCCTCTCATTCATCAGTTCGTTGTGCCCCATCGTCAAAAGCAAACCACATGACGAAGGGTTGGGTGAGTGAGAAAGGACAGGGGGGAAGATGGGAAGAAAAAGAGAAGGATGGCCAAGCACAAGCAACAAGCACCAGCGCATTGTTGACAACTGAAGAAGGGGGGGGGGGGGGGGGGCATCTGAACGGAGGCAATTACATAATTTGCAATGTACATTCTCTGAGACAGAAAGGAAGTCAGAGGGGGGAGGGAGGGAGAGGGAGACAGGACGGGAGAAAGAGAAGAAGAGAGGGAGAATAGGGAGAAGAGAGGGGGAGAGAGGAAAAACGAATGCATCTGGACACGAAGCGAAGRRGAAAAAGAGAGAGAGCGGGCGGAACAAAACATTACACTGCATCTGCACATATGCGAACAGAAGCAATTACAAAATCAACAATTTATATCCTTCACCCCTTTTTCTTCTTTCCGGCGAGGTCGATCGCCATGATATGATGCAGAGGAATAGAGAGAGACACAGAGACATCAACTAACACAAAGGGACCTCATCGTCTGCCAAACAGTCCAATCTTTCCTCTTTTAGAAAGACCCTGAGAGGTATGCAGGCACTGAGAGACCACAGAAACAAAAGAGAGAGGGGAGAAGAGGCAAGGGAGATGGGGGAAGAGAAACGACTACGGATCATCCTCATATATATATGGTTGTACTACCTCACCTGTGTCAAGGAACTCGAGAAAGGCGAAGACAACCCGCCTGCACCCCGGATCCTCCGCAGCCACTGAGCCCCCCATCTTTCTTCCCGCACTGTCTTCCTACCTGTCAATCCAAAATTTTCACAAAAACAAGGGGGGTCACAAAAAGGAAAAAGCAAGGAAAAAAAAAAAAAACGTGGCTGAACGGTGGGTGCACCAATGAACTCTTGATATACAGACCTGCGTTCGAATCCTCGTAAGGGAAGGAAATGACTCCGAATCACCCCGGGGGGGCGGTCAGTAGTGTTCCATGAAGACACCTCCACGACGTGGCCCGTTCAAAAACAAAATTAAAAACTCAAAAAAGAGAGACTCAGAAAATGTGAAAAAAGGAGCACGCCATAGGTTATACGTACATACAAGAATGAACAAGCGGAAAAGGATCCCCAAAAGCAAAGTGAGGGAGGCGCCATCTTGTTTTTTTAGCAGTCCCAGTTTTCAAAATTACAGTTTTCAATATTACAGCACGCTCAACGATTAGGGTACCAGTAGGGCCCACTCGAAATGTCGAGCACGGTCTGCCAGGGCTTCTTCCGACCCCAGAAGAATGCGGAACGTCGTGCACGGGCGCGTTCTCGAAAAATAGCTGGGAAATCTCGAGGGGAAAAAAAAAAAAAAAAAAAAAAACTGGGAAACGTACTGGTGGCTTAATTATCCGGGCAAGCTCCAGATTCCAGTGACGTGGAGATTTGGACTCGCTCTTTTTTTTCCTTTTTTTTTTTTTTTTAAGTGACGTGGAGACTTGGCATTGTTAAAAAAAAGAGCTTATCCATCCTCAGTACGATTATACTCATTTTAGAAAAGGGGGGGAAGGGAGGGGGAAGGAAGGGGGAAGGGGGGGGGAGGGGGGGGAGAAGCCAAAATCAAATTTCAAGAGGTCAGAAAGTCAGAACGCGCACATAGTAAAAATGATTGATCCCTCCTCAGTAACGATTATTCTCATTTGAAAAAGGAGGGGAGAAAAAGCCAAACTCAATATTCGAAAGGTCAAAAAAAAAAAAAGTTAGAACGCACACATCAATCAATGATTGATGCACCCAGGACGGGATGAATCGAGACGCAATCACAGCCATGTGCAAGGAGCGGAGAAAAGGCAAAAACTCGAAACCATCTCGTGCTATTCAAAAGCAGTCACTGGCGTGGCGTCACCTTGCCCCCACGGGCAGTCGGCCCCGCTGCTCCCCTTCCCCTTTTCATTTCAACCCTCTTACCACCTTGCCCTTCCTTTCACCCCCTTTAACTAACCCCCTGTTCCCCTCCCTTCCCCCCTTCCACAAAAAAAAAAAACAACTGAGGGGAAGTCTTGCACCCTGAATGGCACTGGGGCGGCACTGTTCCTGACACGCGCCAGCAAACCGGCCCCGCAGAAACAAGCTCAGCAAGCTTTTTTCCACAGCGTACTCACACTCAGACTTCTCCACTTTCACATGTACATGGCCGTGGTTGCTAAGTTCATCCCAAAAAAAACAGACAAGTGTGATTACGCCCAGGAAGGCTTCTACTCTTTTACTCAGAACTTGGCTTTTCTATGCACTTGGCAGTGGTTTGCGTCTCTATTCATCCCAATATAGACAAGTGTGATCACACTCAGCAAAGCTTTTTCTTTTTCACAGCATACTCGGACTCAAGACTTCTCCGCATTTATATTATACAGATACACGGCCGCTCTTGCGTCTAGATTCATCCCAAAACAGACGAGTGTGATTACGCCTCGATCGAGCAAAACAGCCAACTGTTCCCACCAAACCGTGCGTCTCGACTGGCAAGAGGTAGTTCCTCTGCCCAGAAAAGAGCTGCCACATTTTTTCGTTGGTCCCCCCCCCCCACCACCACCACCACCAGTTATCGACGACGGGTTGATTGGCCCCTGGCCATTTCCCGGTTAACAAGAAACACTAACTCTTAAATAACGTATCTACTATTAACAGCATATAATAATTTTACATCTAAGACCCCTGAGTCACCCCCCTCCTTCAGCAACATTTCCTTGAGTCCCAGCCTGGAGGATGGCGAAGGCTATGGGGGCAGCCGCCGCTCAACCTACATCCACGTGGGCGGCCTTGTACGCAAGAGGTTTTGAACAGGGGGAGTTACAAGGAAGAAGATATTAAAAAAAGAATTCATTCTGTTTTTTCTTTTTTTTCGCTTTTGCGCTCTCATATTCATGTGATGATATATATCGTCACAAACAGAACTGCCCGGTAAACCGTAGGCAGAGAGAGAGAAGAAGACAACAAACGAGGGGCTGTGACAAACTGTTTCGTCGGAGTTTCACCGACTCATCAGGAGGCTGAACCCTCAACAGTCTGCAGAA